AGCTCTTACTTAATTGATTTTGAAATATGCAGGTTCCCCGTTCACCTCTGTTTTGGAACATCGAGATCCATTCCGTTTTCGAATTTCTCTGGCCTACTTACATCTTCACGGATACACAGTTACACGCTATCAACAGACGAAGTTTAGATACCGTCTGTAGATATTGCCTTGTCTGTAAGCTAACATTTTAACGACCCTTATCCCAGTCCCTGTGATTGTGTATTTGCTCGAATGTATTCTATGTGTGAGTAAGGTCCTACGACGCCCAATGGACCTATACTATATAGAATAAGCAAAGCCTTAACGCGCGGCCACAGCTATCCCGTCGCCTTGGGCCGTGTCACTTCCAGTCGACAACGCAGTCGCTAACATTTTTTGTGGCAGACTCTCGTGTTAGGTGAAAATTATTGGGGGAGAGGCGTTTTATTGCATGAGCAGTGACGCGGTGATCGCCGACGCAGCCATTGAGATTCGAGGCCTCCACGGGAGTGAAAGCTATTTTGGCGTTAAATAACGTAAAAGAGCACGAAAATGGCAGGAGGTGCCACGAACAAAGTACGCATAAGCAGCTATTAAATCGCGCAGCTCGATAACAGCTGTCACTGCTGATTCCACGGATTGACGTTCTCGAGTTTGGGGCGCTGGAGATAACTTTGAATTGCAAATAAGCATAGACACAGCCCAATGAGCCAATCCGCCAGTCAGATTGGACGGCTCGTAGATGAAAGTATTGTGAGCATTTTGCCGAGAAAACTCATGGACGCCAATGCTGCTCCTAGCTAATTGGTGCTAGCGTCAAAAAGGAACAAAAACGTGCCTTCTTCAGTAATGTAAGGAGGGCAGGATATGTAAGCGGGTAGAAGTAAAAAAAAACATACGACTGCTTGTGAAAAGTGTAATCATTTTCTAGCGTGTTTCCTTGTTAAGAAAAAAAAAAAAAAGTTAAAAAATGTGACATTACAATATGCTATTTGTACTTGCTTGCTTTATCTTTTGCATAGATACACGCTGGCAAGGAATATGTCTGCCTATTGAATCATATGCAGAGAGAACGCACTGATTTGAGATAACAAAGTAGATTTACTAGTGGATTGGATGTGCTTTTTAATCGGCAGTGAGAAATACGCTAGGGTACGCAATGATGGGTTTATAAATGGAATTTAACTAGTAGTTCACATTGGTCTACCGTTATACTAGCCAATGGTCTAGTGTGGGAAAGTTAGAGGACTTCTTATTTTCTGTTATTACTCGATCAATTAATTGCAATACTGTCAATGAACCACCACTGCCCTAAAAACGTGCTCAATAAACTATAAACTTCGAGGTGCTAATCCGACTGTTAGGTTAGGACACGGTGGCCCAAATCTTTTTGGCCAATGAACCTATCTCGTGACAATTGACACACATCAGCAAAACGCTCACTTAGAGCGACTTCTGTGCGGTGCCTTCGGCATGTACTCGTTTGCCATCACCTCACGGGCTATGGGTCATGATACGTTTCCTAGGGAGCTTCGAAAACCTAATCTTTTTCCATTTACTCTGTAGTATAGTAGTTGACGTATTTCGGTTACTATTTATTATCGATTGAAAACAAGTGGAAATTTCTGATTCGCTTTGTTGGTAAATAGGAAGATCATATATATACTTTTGAAATTGTACATTTGAAGTGCTTGCCGATTATGCATGAGAGGTATCTTCCGCAGGCGAAATGAACCAAATTCACAGAACACGAACCTGTATTAAATCTGCTGTTCCATTAGGTGATATGGCCTATGAGTTGTACTCCGCAGACTTGTCTAGGTCTTATTGTAACGCGATGTTATTATTTTTACTACTGCTTCTACGACGATAACAGCGATAGCGGCTGTAATCAATAGGCTTTTTTTGGTACATACGTTTCAGTGCAGGCACAATCCGGTGACGAATAACGACCCGGCCTTGCTAGTCTGCTGTTCATTAAAGTATGTCCTTGGTAAGATGTGGTAGGCAAAAGGCTGACCATATCTAGCACTCGATACGTCTGCTCAGTTACGGCTCAACCGGTGCTCACAACGTACCGTAAGTTCAAGTCTGTTGTTGGCGATGCATCTTTTTTCCGTTCGCTGAGTCGTGTACATAAAGTAAAAGGTTACGCTGAGCGCGTTAGGGACGACAACACAGATTCGTAAAGGGGTTCCCGTTTCGATCTATTTGTTATTGACTACGAAGCCAGTCGGTCTATTGTGGACGCTGTCAATCAAGCCTAGTTTGGGAAGAACAGCCTGGAAGACTGAACAATGTTCGCTAACAAACGACAGGAAAAATTTCACTCGACATGGAACAAAGTTCAAACGAAACAGCCTGCTTTTCGACAATATGAAACGCGCGGGCGTATGTGAAATTTGTTCCTGCAATTTTAGTTAATTATAGTATCGAAGGTAGGGAAAAGGTAAATGTAAGATAATAGCTTCTCTTCACTAAACGAGATTAGATAGTATCAAGAAAATCGACACTTAACAAGCGTAATCCCTTTATATATAGCATGTGATTAGGGGGATTAACCGCGACGTAATGATAGCTAAGGACACTTGCAGTAGTCCGGCATCGTTCATTAACATACATAGGCACACGCGTTCGAAGGTTACCGCTCAATGAGACACCGTGCATAGGGCACACCCAATAGAACACAGTTGATCGAATCTCATATCAAACAATGAGTACAAAAACTACTCACGGACGATTATTGTACCTTCCATGTGTCCATGAAAAATACGACCATTCGCCGGAGACAGCGTTCACTGAGATCAGACACAAAACCTATCCTGGTTACATGAACAAGACGAAGTTTTCATCTCAGTTTATAGATGAATTTAAGCAACGACTCACCACTTATAACGCTATGGTTCCGACAGGCGCAGTCGGCAATAAAGGCAGACCGTTCTGACATTTACATCTGTAGTGTTATATTCGATACACATACAAAACAATGGACAAAAATGCAGCCTATAACATCTAGCATACAACGTTAGGTAGGACAAATAAAATCACAAGTGATAAAACCGTGGCGGATTTAACGCCAACCTAACTAATGTACATACAGGCAGAATACGTACATCGTCACCGAATAGGTACTACATGTCCTTCATGCCATGCTTTTACCCAGGCGTCGCGAAATAAAGTACCCGATCCCATTGAATCATATATATATATATATATATATATATATATTTTAGATTGAATCAAAATGATTAATTTATTGTTCGCTTACTCTGTGTTAGAGCATTCTGTTTATGACATGGGATTTCTACGATTTAAAAGGATTGACGAACGTTATAGCTTTCCTACGAGGCGGTACCGGTAAGAACCGCTGAAACTGTACCCGACGTTACTAAGGCGCAAATCCGAGGAGTAAATTGAATTTCCGTAATAGCACAATGGAAAACATGTCTGCATCCTAAACGTAAGAACAAATGGTGGCGTGGACTAAAATTTGGCCATAGACACTTCTCTTAATACTGGCAAAAACCAGCTGTAGCTTAGCTATCGCACGTAAAACACGGAAAGAAATAAAGCAGATTGAGGGTGAAAGCTTGTTGAGTTAGATAGCGTCGGGGGCAAATCGTATTACAAAAGGATGTGGTTTCCACCCATTTCATTGCTTACCTCCACGTGTAAATATACCAAGACTGGTAGAATCATACACCGGCAATGATAGTTGATATTCTGTCATAGTTCACGATTGCCGTTAGCTATTCTATCGAAAACAAATATCACCCTATTTTTAGCTGATCACATTCAAAACATTCCTAGATCATTTGAAAAAGTATTCTGCCATAATGCCTTATTACTGAAACTGTAGCCTATTACGACTATTCCAATATGTATGAAGTTAGAGATTAGCTCATTATCACGAGGTTAAGACACGTTTATGTTATTGATATGAAGCAATAAAGGCCTACAATCGAAGGTCCTGATCGCTGACTGATGAGGTCCATTTAATGCTGCGAGTTAGACGTCTGCCGCAATGCTCAACGACAGTACCAACGCTATTTCGAAATGTACACTTCTCTGGACAACTACGTTCCAGGGATCCTTAGATTACTAAGTCATTAAATCGAACAATAGACAAAAGGTCGTTGGAACGTCCCTGTTCGGCTACGGTAAGTTGTGCTCGGCAGACCGGTGGAGCAAGCATTACTTTAGTTCACTTAAGTTCCGGTTCAGCATCTTTTTATGGTCTAAATTGATTTAGCCCATGCGACAGAAGGTGAATTCAACACACATGCAGCTTTAAAATAGCCCTTTATTGTTACTTTTTGGTCGGCGGTGTTACAGCTTCGTAATTGTTTCAACATTAGGACGTAACATGTCTTCTATCATTTAACACAGCCCATTTTTTGTTAGTGCGTGGTCATTCTACCGTATTCACAGCCCCGTAGATCCCCTTCGCTTCGTAACCCGTTCATTTCCACTTCGTTGTTACCCCGAACACTTTTCCCCGATGCATATATATATATGCATATACATATGTATATATATATCGCGACTTTATCGTCATACTTCTCTTGTAAGTGTGTCAAATACTTCTATATCATCATTATTGCCATTATCATTAGCATAAACGTTACATTGCTTTGCACACATTCTGAGCATCGTACATGATTATTATAGTATTTTATGCATGAGACGGTGCCTCGTTTTCCTAAATCGAGTTTGAGAAACATTGATCTATCTGGTTGGCTGCAACGACATGTACATCCTATACGATGTACAGCCTTACCATAATAGCTCGTCGTCACCGACAAGTATCTTCTGCCAAGCAAAGCTTGGTCTTCTTGTGGTATCATCGTTGCTGTATTTATTACGTTACGTTTCATATAGATACACACAAGCCATATATGATGTCTGTTAGCGTTTGGGCGCATTTTGTTCAATGCCTCGTCTACGAGAGAGGATACAGTCACGTAACAATTGCCTTTTTTTCCATTGCGGGCCGTACGTTTGCATGCGTCTTTGCTCTGTAACTATCTAGCACCTATCTATCTAAATATGTCACTTCATCCACGGATACTGGTGTTAATTTTCAGATTTCAGAGGTTCATTTCAGATTCAGGCAGACTCTCGACCTGGCCGACATCCACGCAAGGCTCTGCTCTCTTATGTTAAATTTTCAAAAACTACAAACGGATCAGATAATTGCTTGCCTACATAATTTCCTCTTCGATCTAAACTGAATAGCCGCGTGCTGTTCGAGACGACAGGGTGCGAATTAGACAGTGTTTCTGTTTGTCCTAGCCCGTGGCTTTACTTCGCATGCAACCCTTGATTTAACGTATAGATTAAGCCCTTGAAGAACGATCCAGAGACGGTATGGGACGACACGTCCCGCGTGATCCACTATTGGCTGGCATGTAATTATGAGATAGTAAATGACAAAAGATAGATACGAGAACAAAGTAACAGACGATATGGTAGATTTTTCATCAAGAGACCGTATAAAAAAGAACCTTTAAACTTAGATCGAACTTAGATAGAAAACGAAGACGATGCTAACCTCGATTCGCAATATGCAAAGGTTCTACTGCCGATTCGTGTTAGCTTCCATTAGTTTTACATACCCAATACGGACGTACAGCATACCTTAAACTAATATATATTGCACGTTATTTTTCGCTCCATTTTAGGCTCAACCTCCAAATAGGCATTTCGTAACAACCGGCCTTTTCTTCCACTTCATTAATCGTTCGACGTTTAAAATACTGATCGCTAGCTGGCGGGAAGAAGCGAGCTTATATCATCTGGACGTATATACTCCAGCGGATTACTTGTTACAACGACATTTTTACTCGTATATATAAGAAGAGCAGGTTTTGTTGAACGACATTCTAGAGCTAGTGAAGACTAACCCGATCCGGGTTGCTTCCAGTTTAGTGCTCATCGAATCATCACTTCGCATCTTCCCCAGATGAAATGACTAACATTATAACTATCTTGATTTTCTGCCGTTCAACTACCCCCAACTATTACTCCGTCACATTGCATTTGATTATAACTACCACTGCATACACAATGTTATTGTTCCATCTCAAGGCTCGCAAGGAAATCTGTGGGTTTTTAATGCTTAGCCCGATCAAAGTGTCGCTAACTAATGCTGAAAGAGGATAGAGGCGGTACCCTGGATTTCTTCTTCTGTAAACTAGCTTGCGTTTCGGCACCGTTCTATCACAATGTCGACTTTAGAACTCAACAGTTGTTGCAATACTATGTAGACGTGTATCTTTGCTGAAAGATGGAGTGATTTGAGTAGTTTCTATATATTGATAGGCCGTTTGTTCCAATAAATTATTATTAGCAAGAGTTAGCAACACTCGAGTCAGCCAACTAGGTAGGTCGCGATGACCGCATCCGCTAATTTATCCTGCTTTTTTCAGAATCATAATGTTCTAGTGTCATAGAGAACACCTTTTTAAACGTTACTCACGAAAATTCACGAAATCGCTTGCCTATAGCACAAGACACTTATAATAAATAAGATAGTTTGTCTTTGAACTGAACGAACTAGCTTCTAGAACACAATTGGCTACCTTCCTACCACTAAGGAAAGTTTGTGATGATTTTCTAGGGAGATTTCGCGCCTCTCGCCGCGTTTTCTCGTTATAATGACAGTTCATCGGAGCTGCATCATCTGCTAAGCGCTAGCGTGTAGCGTGGCGTCCTTCTAAGATATCTGGGCTCTTCTACTTATCATACGTCGTCGTCGTCGTCGTCATCACCACTGTGTTCTTCATCGTGTTCCTTTTCGTGTCGGTCCCTTCTCGTTGAATACGACGGCTATCATTTGCAGTTGCTAAATGCATTAACACGAACGGTTATTATCATCAGCTACTTCGTTGTTTGTTCATGAGGAGGAAAGGAAACCCGAAGCACTCGACGGCTAGGATAATAAAAACACCGCTTAATAATCAATGAAGCTCTTAGAATAACTGAACGCTTGAGAAACCGTCGTTCTTTTCGCCATGTTTTTAAATAAAAAATGCCTCTACTCGAAGAAGTTCAATTCCAGTAATACTAATAATAAGTAAACAAACAACTAAGGAGTAGAACTGTTGCACCAAGGCGTATATCGCGTGAAATATACGAAGAGTGCGGAAAGATATGTTCTGAAGGTGGACTCGTCCAACACGTTCATGAAAATACATCGGTACGGCACTATATTTCCCGTCCAATAGAGTCGAGCTTATAGTAGTATTAGAAGAATTGGCTGTTTGAGGTGCAGTGGACCTTTGGCATGTCCCGTTGCCCCCATAAATCGGCAAATGCTATCGGTTGTCAGTTCTGAAATTTCATCACGGTTTAGCTCCATTTCTCCCGAACGGATGACAGCTTAGTTGTCTTTCTTCAGTTGCCGCCAAATCTTGTAGTTGACGTTTGTAGCGGATTCGGAGAAAACTAACGTGTAATTCAAGTAGCTTTGGGAAGCTTGTCTCGCTATCTTCATGGGTACAATTACTCATACGCATCATTGACGAGTTGGCGAGTGCCCCTCAGTATGAGGAATCAATCACGTCCTTAAAATTCGCATGAGTGAATTGAGATTCTTCGCTAGCTGGGTCCCCAATTCTTCTTCCGATAAGCCGCTGTCGCCTGAAAGATTATGGACACCATATATATGGTAAATAATTATTGCTTTATGTTGACGTTTATTGAATAACGCTGGTGGAGATGTGACATGAAAGAGACAACTGAATAGAACAGATTTAGCCCATTGGGTACAGTAAAGTACGTTTCTGTTTCACTTCACAATACATTATATAATACTACACTATATGCATGTATAACACAGACGATCATACATGCGACATGTACCAAACGCGTACCTGTGAGATTGTGTTTGCCAATCATTCGATGGAACTCCATGGCGACGCGGTCCATATGATCGGCTAAAGGATGACTGACTTCAGCGCTTTGCATCAAAACCGTCTCGCTATAGAGGAACATGCGTTCTAAAAGGGCCACACAGGTGATCTGCAGCAGAGGGGCAGTCATCGAAGACGTTAGGGTATCGCATGCGTTTTGTCGCACATAATATTTTCCATTTTAAACATCCGTTACGCAATATGAGATATGCTTGTCCAGAGCTATTTTATTGGTTTAAAAAGTCAAATAATATGCTTTAAAAAAATACGTAGCTCTATACTAGGTCTAGGGCTATGTACGACTATAAAACGATTAATTATCATTCATTGAAGAAAAATGTATCGTGTAATGCTAAAAACTGAGGTTCCGTTACTATGTCACAGAGAACTTCCTCGCGTTAATAGATTTCATCGAAAATTGGCTAAGCCTTACAAAACTAAGATACTGTGCCTCACGAGGTTAAGCAAAAGAATTTGCTGCAGGTAAATTTCCTTTCATAACGCGTTTTTTTTTTTAACGGGTAGAAGCATGTAGCGTACTCTAGAGACAATTTGGTCACCTACAACAAAAAATCTATACAGAATAGACTGCCTTTAAAAAAAATATAGAAGCCAACGCATAAAAGTATTGTTGTTCTAGCTTATATGGTTTCATGATTCATCGACCAAGTTAGCCCAGAAAACTTAAATGGACATATCTGAAGTGGTGTTAATTTTTCTATTGAATAGTTGAATGCGAGCAATACGCAATACGAGCCAGGTCGGCAATGTTTTTCTACCAAATGTCACAGGTCGTTCTCGAAGTTCGGCGCTACTTACCAAATGATCGTGCAATTTTTCCAGCTGCATCCCGCCAATGTCGAGATTTTTCTGCGCTCGCAACGCCATCTCGCGTACTAGAAGTTTTGAGCTAGTTACGAACTGGCGGGCCTCGGAGATCAGCGCGTCATGCGCCTGTGACAATTTAATCGGATCACGTTTGCTAACGCTGCTTTGGTTCTTCATTGTGTGAACCTTTTTTAAGCGTGAAGCCTATGTGACAATGAGATTATGATGTCTGAGTCAATATATGCTCGAATAAATACCGAATTAAAGCAAGCCTAAACAAACAATGTACGGACGTTCCTTATCTATTTAGCTACGCCTACCATTGTGCTAATTTGATGTTGTGCTCTACTGAAGCCGTTCGTCTGTTCCGGAACCTTTCTCGGAGTTGGGGGTGCTGTTGGAGGATTCCCAGTTGAAGAGGCATTGGACAATGGTGAAGTGTTGGGTCTTGAAGAAGACGTGGGCGAATCGGCCGTCGTTGTACGTGTTAAAGTGTCGAGATCCGGTGGGGGAGCTGGTAGATGCTGTGACAATCGGATTGGCTGTCGCATCCGATACAGGAAAAAGGAACAAGGTAACAGCGCATCAATGGTAAATGCTTGCTTTGAAATGGATGTGGTATTGGTAAAGTATTCTCGCTTGCCTAACAGGCGTTCCACGCTTGAAGCTTGTACGCGAGTTCTAGAAACGCAACAAGATAATAGAATGTTATAGAAAATGAACTCGAAACAGGCACGGAAAAATTTTCCCATTCATCACATGTCATACAAACTGCTATTGAATTTCTGTTTAAAGGAGTGCTCTTAAACGGGACCGTTTGACGTGACCATAAACGTAAACACAAAAGCACGGCAAAGATTCATCCATCCACGACGTGTAAGGATGTCTCTATAGGCTAGATTGCCTTTTTCTAAAGCACATATCGATATTGTTTGGCGTTCTGCTTCCATGCAGTCTCCTTAGAGAGGGTCTATGTTTCAGTGATGTGCATCATACCTACCCTTAAGGGTCCTGGCACGTTGATACACAACAGGTACAGCGCGTCGTAATTCAGTTGCGTCGGACGTATTGTGGCCCGAAAGAGATTAAAGGTAGGTTAGGTCAGTAGGTGACGGCACAAGGAACACACGAAGCCATAACGAACAGTAATTCATATAACGGGGGAAGCAAGCGCATTTTCATCAACAAACATAGGTCACGCCACGAGACACGATACCAACGTGACCAGGCAGCAGCGTTAGAGACAACAGGCAAACATAGTTAGAAAGAGTGAAGCATAGCAGCACAATAAAAAGGACCGAAAGAGCCTGTGCGGTTGAATGATAGTAAAAGGCTTATAGTTATGTAGCTTCGAAATGCAGTATCTAAATTCTGTCTGTAAATACATGCCGAGGCTATTCTCAAGCAAAGCGCTCAATCTGTCCTGGCTCTATGATCAAAAAAAATTACTGTGAATGGCCTAATAGTCGTACACGACCGTCTTCCCTGCCACTCGAGTGTACTTCCAAATCGTATTTGCAAATTATAGGTCGTCGGTGCTGGACGGTTACTGTAGAAAATGAAAGTACTACGTTTTATTCCTGTGACAATATTTCACAGGGTGAAACGACAAAAACACATTGGGAGAAAACAAGGAAGCCTAGTGATAAATGGGGCGTCGGCGGGGGCGGATGTATCACCCCATTCCTTCCTTCAAACGAGGACTTGGACTTGAAGTCCTCGTTTGAAGGAATTTTTCAAATGTGAATATAAATCGAGGCCTGCATTTATAGTTCAGTATTGTTACTTACTCAACAGGAGTGGATAAAAATGGTCGAACACCATAAACGTTTCAAATGGCAGGCAACGGTTTTCGTCAAGGGCAAACAAATGCAGCAGGAACATTCAAAGGAATCTTCCTACCTTGACGGGTTCAGGTGAGCCGCGTTTCTGCCGTGGAGGCGCTTTCGGCGGTGGCGTTTGTATGATATCGTAAATGTCCCTGAAAGTGGACGAATTCGAATAGAAAATGGCGATAAAATAGTCGACTTTTTTATAGTCTCTCATTATGGATTAGCAACATCTTGTATATAGGATCAAAGCACAATTGCATCAAGGCGTATCACAAAAGTTGATCACATCGAAATTTTTCAACATACCTAGATGCCTGTTCAAACCGGGCGATGATTTCATTCTGGGTGCAGAACTCTATCGGAGGTGGTGGCGGAGGAATGATCAATCGACCCAGATCGTACTGGTTAAGGCCCAGATTCTCAAGTTCAGCTAACTCTGGCGATGAAGGAGGTGGCAACAACGTCAAATCGATGACGTCGCCGCCGATATCGCACATGGATGTAAACCCTGCGTGCATATAAACAGATGTGTCACGTTACTACGCAATGGTTATATCATTTTGGTATTGAGTCAGGAGCAAAAGTTGATATGGCAATCAAATATTGTTCATGCGTACCGAGACTGGCTTCCGCTGGAAGTTCGATCCGTGTGACACTGTGGGTACCCGGAAGCCCGGAAAGCTGTAACTGGCCCCCATCTAAGGTTCCTCCTGAACCAGATTGTTCTCTATAGGCCATTGCTTCGTATTTTCGTAGTGTGTCGGTGTAATTGGCAAAAGACGTTCGAACAGGCGGTCCATCGAAAGGCCCTGTGAAAGACTGCATATTTGATGTTGAGTTGCCTGAAAAACAGTGATTGTATCATGAAATTAGAAACACACATGGAGCTAACGTTTTTAGAGGGAGCGAACTCCAGCCAAGAAGACGAACTGTTTTAGTCGCTGTGCCAGTTCCTCTATTACAAACGTCGTTACAGATATGCGAAAAGCTGTCAAGGTACTCAAACGGCACCCGTAAAATAATACATTTTCCAAATATGTCCTAGCGGCATACGTTCTCATACAGTCACAATGATGATGGACGTGTTGAACCTTAACAACAGGTAGTTCCATTCACCTGACGAATTACTAGAAAAACTATTTCTATCCGGTCGATCCCGCGACAAGACGTGGTGCAGAGCATCCGTACGCAGTGAGGCTCCCACACTTCGGATCTGGTTTGGCTGCCTCACTAACTGTTGGCTCTGACCGGTGTCACTGGAATCGTCCGAATCTTCTTGTGATGCGGACGACCCGCTACCGCCTTTGATTTCTGTCGCCTCGACTCCTCGTGACATCCGAAGTTCACTAGGTCCTAGAACGCCTGTCGTTATATGCGCACTTCCATGAGGACCTCCAGAACCTGTCTTTTCAACCGCCGCAGCTAGAAGCAACAGCGAATCTGCGGCCTATGCAGGATTAGAGAAACATAGTACGTGATTAAGTGTGTACTTCAATTTAGCTCCTTTTACTACCGATTCGTTTTACTCGTCACTGAATAGCTAGAGCTAAAACTAAAACGATCAACAAATTTCATCTGTGCAGATGGTTGACGGACGCTTTTTTACATACCTACAATATTTCACTTCTATATCAAACGATCGTCTTTAAACACAAAATCCTACTACGAATACCTTCGTTGATTTTTTTTACAGTCTGGCCTGTGTTTTCCACAAAAACTACATGATCAATTTAGGTATTTGCTGTTAATAACGTGATTCAAAAATACACTATAGCTTCAATGGTTTCACAGACACCCGCAACCGAGCACAATCTATGCAGTGTGCCAGAACTCAGCGGGTCGTACGACTGACAGTACGATACAGTTATCATCTGGCGGCTCTGCACGTCAGTAGCCACACAATCCGTTTGATACGATCCTCCACACATTCAGTAAACACCTCGCCGTAATCAGGATGTCTGTCCATTGACGGCCCGCGCTCTTCAGAGGGACATCCGTTAGCCGACTGCAATGTTCGCTCATCTCGTTACTACGTTGGGTTATCAGGTTCCAGTTTCCCGCAAAACAACTGCCATTTAGAAGAAGCGTTTATTATAACGGTTCTCAATGCCACGGTCACCCTGTCGCCTGAGGCTCATAACGAGACTTCGCACACATACACAACGTTCTCGACTGGAAAATGACGCGCCTCTGGCTGGGGACCACTAGCAGGGATCCCTTCAAACTGAGATCTATTCTCGTTTGCCGGTTAGAGTGTCGTTTTAACTATGTAGTAAACTCGCTACCAGCAAAATACTGAGTACTGAAACAGCCAGCCAGTATCATCCAAAGGAGTCGATGCGATGCAACTTGGAATGCATGCTTAATAATTAAATTATGAAGAGTAATTATGTCGTTGTCAACTCAATATATTTGGTCTTTAAGTTTTTAAGAAAATAGAATAGAAGAGATGGTCCATTCTTTATCTGTTGAATCTAGACTACATGACATTGCGCTCTTACTAGTACTTACGAATCAAAATTGCAATACGAGCAAATAAATAATTGGGGTAGCGGATTTATACACCCCATTCCTAGACCGACAAAGTATTACCTTTAGATGCGGTGGTTTCTCCTCGTTCGCCTCTCCAGACGATGTGCTCTCATTAATCGACCCAACATCAATATCTGGCTGTCGATTATTCATCATTATGGCAGGGTGCATTACATGGCCGAGAAGATCTGGCGTAGCCGACGAAGAAACTCCCATTAGAATGTCGTCATCGCCACCGAGAGTAAATTGAACTGGACTGTCTCGAAGGCCACCAATCTGTCCTGGTGAAGTGTAGGCTCTTTCGAGCTGGCGGGCAACTACTCGATGGTTGATTGTTTCTACCGGCTTTGCAATCGATGGGATTGAGTGAGACTCGACACTTAATTCGAAACGGTCTGAAATATGCGATAGTTGTGTGACCATGAAGTCAGTGATAACTCTGCATTTTCTTTTCATTAAATCTTGACATTAGCTGTTTTGAAGCGCACAGGTACAGAGATGGTCTGTCTTCGAAACGGTCATAGTGTAGTAAGTGGAGAGATCATACTAATCGAATTTTACTCGCATCTTAAATACCAATAATTATTAATATATTATATTAATAATTATAGCTTCATTTCCGCGACCGTGTGTTGTCCTTGTGGAAGTTCCTCCGCCAAAAGGAACTAACATGGACAAGAAAGCGATCGTTGATGAATAGATATCATTAATCAAAGGAGATTGTTCGAAGCTATTATTCGTCAACTTACTGGCGAGGTTCATGTTGAAATCGAGGTTTCGCTGAGAACCGGTTGTAGAGCTACTTCGAGATATGCTTCGGAACTCACTCAGAAGTGTCTGGAACGAAAGTTAGTTTCTGGTTAAAAAATGACAAGACGGCAAGTAAGATCAGATCGAGCAGTCGACTATTTTCATATGGGATGATTACGTCGCAACATTAAGATTGCGGATATAAATTTCTACAAATGTAATTGAACTCTTCACATTGTGTTCTTGTTATTTTTTTTTAAATATAGATATTTCAATATCAATTTAAGCAAACCACTTGGCTCAAGTCTGTGGATATGACGCCAAAAATGCTGTAATTTTTTTAAAAATATTTAGGATAATTTTAGTGTTTCTAACAGTTCCTACTACAACTAACAAACACTATGCGAGCTTTATAAACGGTAATGATTGTTTACGTCAAGTTGGTGGGTTATCACAACTAAGGCGAAAACTTCGTACCTTGAATTTTCAATTTTTTCGTCGATTTCTTGCTGATGCACCATCTTATTTCTATTATTATTGTTGTTTTTATATTATTTGTTTGGAGCTGTAAACTTTACCTTATATAATGTTACTTGATTTTGTTATTTATATTTACAATCGTTACTTATATTGAAATAACAGACTAGGGACAAGATGAAAAATTCTAGAAGTGGTCGCGCGCTGCCAGTTCGACGTGTACACATATGATATATATGTCATACGATATACACATGTGCGTAATGTTTACTTTGGATTTGGGCAAATGACTTATGGGAATTATCCAAATTTTGTATCTGACTTGATACTTCGATGATGAACTCAGCCTTCAGGTTGAAGACCCTGCGTAAAACTAGGTTGATTTATCGTTCTCCTTAGGCAAAACGGTACACCTGTATATATATACGTGAGGTAAATATCTATCACAAGTCGTCTTGAAGTTATTTTGTAACTATTTAATGCGTAAGGTGTTTTCCCTAATATGAATTAATTAAATCTGTGGACATTATTTAAAAGCCAATATTCCATCTCAGGCCCATAGTTTTAACCAAATGAAGGATCCGATGTCGTCTAACAATAAAAATCATCCTAACACAGTTCGCGTGGTAAAGAAACACTCCTCATATTTTTAAGACATTTTTATTAACTGTACAGGGCGTTATTTTTATCAAAGTTAACCAGCTTTATTTACAGTTGAACCTAAATGCGTACCTCATTCGGGACGTATGGCGGTGGGGCGCTAGAATAGTCCATCTTGCGCAGCCCACTTGGGGACCCATCATCTTCTAGGGGTGGACAGTAGCTCCATTCCCGGGGAATTACTACATGACTGCCATGGTACACGGGAGCCGTTTCGATCTGAGTTATAATTATACAAAATTAACTGTCTTGGATTGTTGCATAGATTACAACTAGTGATAATTTCCTGCAGGAAAACTTCCTAATCATATTTTATACCTTCACACCTGTGTCAAACTGCCCGACGTTTCTAGAAATCAGCCAAAAATCTCACCTACCTCCCACGGATTGATCGTACGCCATTCGACGAACAATTCTTCCTTTCTCAGCAATTGATAGTAGCCCCGTAACAGAAGTACTAACTCTAACATAGCTCGCTCCTCCATCCCGATCACGATATTCTGCAAGTAACGATTACCAACCGGTAATTACAGCATGGGAGTCTTGAAAGGGTGACTTCTCTGGAAAGGCTATGTAAGCCTTTATGCCATGTCCCACAATTAGCCTAGTGGGTGTGGCCTACAGATTATGCTTGATACACAATAGGAACCGTGTAAAACTCGATTCAAGTCTTTGCAGCCATCAATGATTATTTATACACGAGCTAGAGGAACATACATTATACGAACCGTGGGCGTAATGTTGATAATGTAGGTAAAGTCGTCTTCCTTTGAGATTGATATTTTCGAGATATTCTCGATCTTTACCAACTCAGAGATCTGCGGGTGATTCAGCGAATGACCATTCGACGAAGCTCCTGACGAGGTCGCTAAGGTCACCGTTCCATCGCTTCGTTCTTCCACGGCGACCACCGATACACCGTCTACAATAAATGAAATGAAAAACAGCTAGAATCGTAGTCATGATGCGGTATAAGTAACACATTTGGCGGCTAAACACATGGTAATCTGGATTCCAATCCTAGCGTAGATAAATATCGTTTTGTACTAAAATTCAGCCGTCTAATGGAACGCATAATGGCGGTACAGCCCGCGAAATACGAAGCCTGAGTTCAGTTCAGGCACGAATTCCGTCAAAGGCAGCCTTTCAAACAGACTAATCGGGAACGTGAGCATATAAAGGGGCGGTTGGTCCGCTAAGTTATACCTGCGCATAAGTGTGGTCTCTGATTGATATGGTTTCAATGTAAGTGGATAATTGTTGCGTTCAACATTCTATAGTCTAGTCGATTCTTTCTCAATTTCATTAAGTTCTGCAGCGAAGATTCTTTAAAATGTATATACAAAACCCATATGATCTAATTCAAAACATTCATGTTTTTGTAGAACTGTGACTATCGATCATACCTGAGCCTTTGCTCGGTGGATGTACTTTATCAATATTGATTGCCGAGGGGTGATGATTGTGCCCCGATCCTGCGGCATGAGCCGATGAGGATGATTGCCCATGTGGCATCAGATGGTGTGATGGTGGACGATGAAACTTACGTAGTCCGCTTCGACCACTTAGCAGAAGGTACTCGCCATGATGAAACGAAGACCCTTCACATTCAGCCACAGGCTCAAGAATTCGACAGCCGTAACCTTCCTGTTTAGACATGATGTTTAGGAAGTGCAACTTAACCTATAATCAAAAGCCAGGCCAAAAACCATTCGGTCATTCATGCTGAGTCAAGTTATATTTCAAGTAAAATTTCTGCATAAGAATATTCAATAAATCAAAACAGCGTAAAACAATACGTCTCCGGATCGCGTCAGGGGCATTTTCGTCAAAGATAAACACCAAAAAAGGCTACCTGCAATGGGGTAAGTTGCTTTTGGCCTGGTGAGCACAAGCTCTCGTTCTGCTTCATAGACTGCGCTAAAATTTTACGAAGTTGCTTGGTCTTCATTGATTCAAGAAGCGAGTACGAGACAAATCGAGTAAGACCGCACTCCCCCCTGAAATGCCATGGATTAAAAGGGATTAATAAATAAATATGTTTTGTTTTTCCGTATACCCCGCGATCCTGACCCGCTCCCGAAAAAAACGTGATGAAAAAAAGCCGGTTAATGTTAGACGAAAAAAAATTACCAATAACTAAGTTATTCTTGATATTGAAGTTTCTGCTCAGTGTACATCGAAAGGCACGCACAGTCAAAGCATCTCTGGGTTTCCCTTTGAAGCTAAGCACATGTTGCGTGTTGAACAACATGGGGTGTCATTTTCCCAGTGCTTTACTCAAAAAATATGTAAGTTCAGTGGTTGTTAGAGAGAATAATTACAATCATACTAATAGCCGTAAATAAGGCTCTTACTCAATCTGTTTAATAGACGTAGGTTTTGCCTGCAGCCCCTGGCTGAGAAGATGTTGGTGAAGATGCAACGACGATAGTCGCAACGCTACTTCAGGCTCCAGTGGTGGGGTAATTTTATCGTGAACCTGTTAGAGTTTACACAGATTAATATAGGGAATACCAGTAATGATAATGGGTAACAGGTTTTCCCAATGTAAGCTTTTCGATTCGTTTACTTTTTTTTCTAATGGTCAGCTTTTTTCCTGCGCTCAGGCTTTTCTTTTTCCACGGTTTAGTATTAAAAGCGACACCCTCGATGACCCATAGTGCAACGAGCGTGATTTAAACAACTACAATGTCACGCTATAGCGTACCAGATCATTACAACATTGTTGATATAGATATTCGAACGAATGTGGACAGTTCTGCAGCAATTCATACGGATCCGATGGAAGTAGGGCTACTCGAAAGAGGCATCGAAGGTTGTGCGATCCTGGAAGAGCTGCAATCTGAAATAAAACATGGCTGTTAGAGTTGCTTTTTTCAACAAAGAATTACACGTTAAATCGGGATTACGTAAATTCCGATTTGGGCAAACACGATGGGGAGGCGAGTTTTATGTGCTCATTCAATGTGATTGTCTAATCGTTCTATTTTCAATGAGTCTTTATCTAGTCAATAAATAATCAATGCATTGTTGGCTAGTCCATGCGTCTGTAAGCGTCATTCAACGTAGAACTTACGCTTACGTCATACAATTCATACAGATATCGAACGAATCGTCTTTCAAATCTTGTCTCAAAAATAACTACGAGTTCGTGTCTGTTAAGTGCGGAGCGTGTTTTTTCGCTTGTCAAGGACCACTGCTACTGATACCCACCTTCCCTAACGTTTCTCGAGGATCAAGAAGCGAGATCTTATTCCTCCGTCCACCAACACTTTTTAGCTGCTCGACCACGATGCCAAACAGATCCATTGCCCCATCGGAGATGCGTACCTGTGTTTCGTTTAGACAGCAGGATGAAAGAATCACCGACAGTTGAACATAAATTAGAGTCAACTTCATAAGTGAAACATGAACTTTCGCCCTTTATGTAACAACGTTGCGAGCTTGTCAGGTTTAGCTGGTAGCAGCAAGCGTGATTTACAGCAGCTCAGTATTAAGTTAACGTATTAGCTTTTGTATGTAGAAATATCTCGAGCAGCTACACGAAATACACGGCAGTCAGCGACGTACGTCGGCAATTCGAACGGCTAAAATCTTTGTTACATTTGAAACTAACGACGGCCATGACGTCCTACCATCTTCTCGGCAAATGCTGCTGAGAAACATCAGGAAGATGCTTCCTTAGACTAGAATATAGCTTGTCGGTCCATTATATCGACAGAAGTATATAGCTTGCCGGTCCATTATATCGACAGAAGTAACTTGTACGTTTGGACATTTCTTGGACGTATGGGCATTTCAATGCAATTTTGCATTTTGTTCATCGTATTTAGTCTCAGGACGTCGTATTATTCGTTATAGAATAGAGCATTCAGGAATCAAATTCGCCCGCTAAAGCCCCTTACCTTCTCCTTAAGTACGTCCAAAACTGACTGGACATCTGTAGCACTGTCGTACTTGAAGCTCTTAGTGTGACCGTTCTCGAGGAACACTTTGATCACATTTGCGACTGGAGCTCCTTCCAGCTCCGATCCGTAGAGAGGACTTCCATTGATAACGACGCCTTCCGCAAAGCGAACTTTCGATGGACGCGATCGAAGCTTGGCCTTTTTGGCCGCCGTTAATAACGCTGATTTTTTGGTCGTCTGGAACCCGAGTGCATAAGAATGCAAACACGAGATCAACAAGAAGTCGTTCACGAGTCCATACTAGTCACGCAATGAGCGAAAGCACACTGAGTGCACAGGGCACATCTAATGACTTGCCGAAACTGTTTGTTTTTTTCGCAGAGATGTAAGCGCACTTAATCGTCACCTTGCTTCGTGACACTATATCATTTGTCATTGTTTGAATAATATCAAATCATGGGTGAGTACAGGCAACAAAGTTGACCGCTCTAGTCACACTATTCCATCCCGCATGAGAATCAATATGAATAAACTACCCGGCCATGCCCACGTGGGCAGCATAACACTGGGCCCAGCCTATGGCCAACAGGTCGCCTATAGTAAATAGATGATTTCGGACGAGACCTACGCGATGCTTAGGTTAACAATACGGTAAATGGATGCATACTCTATGACGAGAAGTTTTAACTTTAGGCAAGCGCCGTCACGATTAACGAAGATCAGATGACCATTACAATTTATTTATTGTTGCACGACCTCCATTTAAAGTAAAGTACGGGGTATTGATGGGATAATCCTCTTGTTAGTAGTAAAAATAACTTTGTGATTTTTTCTCTTGTTTACACCACCTAGCATACGTGCTATATGCATCAGGGTCCCTAACCCATGTTACTGGACTATCTGAAGGCTTAGGCCAAGATGCGATTTCTCATGCAGTCACATGTGTAGCCACTAGAACTCACATTATTTGTTACAGGCTGACAGACGATGAGCTTGATAGTTGATTGGCATGACCTACAATGAATTCACCAGAAAAGCATCATGTGATTCAAGGGAAATCCCATCTACATCAGCGAGGTCTTTTGGCAGCACTTCAAACAATTCCTTTTTAAATATGACAATCGCTTTCTTCAACAAAGTTATGTTCCTCTAAGGTATATTAATGCCTTACTATTAAATTATATCTAAACCAGTGTCTGCGGATATATATATATATATATATATATATGTTCAGAAATTGGACGAATATAGGGGGGTAGCAATTCTAGTGGCGCTAAAGTGTCGCCCGCCTGTATTTATCTTCTTACTTGACCATATCGATGACGTGCTCACGAGGCGCCGTCTTTACATCTACGCCATTTATTGCGATAATCTCGTCACCCGGAAGTAACCTGAAATAGATTTTTTTTTAAGAATTAGCATTCTTGGTGATTTTCTTGACATGCGTAAGTCATCACGTGCGCTTAACGTATAGCATCAATGAGCTGTCCTTTACTAAGAATCTATTCAGAGTGAATCTCATTAATCCAACGAGATTTTTTATTTTATTTATGTTTATTTATTTTTTTTTTGATAGATCTATACACCGGCATAGCAATCAGCTACTAAATTAAATAATAATTTATTTATCGCTTATTATCCTAATTATTATTATTACTTTGTTGACGCTGAGATTTAAAGTAGCGTTGTAGCGTACTTATTAGCTATCGTTATTACGGCAGCGCATTAGCTACCAAGACCACGCACCCCCTTAAAGTATATCGTTGAGATTACTTAGGCACTTACATAGTATAGAGCTACCGGTAAAACCTGTCGACAGCAAAGGCCACCGACTGAGTGAAATTGCTTACAGAAAGCACGGAAGGGAAAACAAAAAAATCCACAGCAGCTTATCATGTACCCACAGATATATATATATATATATATATATATATATATATATATATATTTTTTTTTTCCGGATTTTTTCTTTTTTTCGGATTTTTTTTTTTTTTTTTTCGGCTTACATGGCCGATTAATATGTAAAAGGAAAAATAATTTCATTCAATATTTCGCAAAAAATAAGCTGACTTTGTTTGGCCTTTGACACTAAAAAAAGGAAAGCTTGCTTCTTATAGGATGAGTACCTAATTACATCATATATATGCACACGAGCTCAGAGATCTGCATTTCAGAGAAACGACACGTCACACGTCGAACTGCCTGCTAAAAATCCAAATGATTCTACAAACAACTTAGGTTCCCGTGCAACCATTGTTAACTATAGTTGGAAATTGTGTGGCTCTAAACACTACCTCCTTATCAATATCGGAAAACCAATGGCCCAGAAGACGCCATCTTAATATTTACATATATAGAAGATATTTATCTTCTATGCGCACTCCCGATCGTAGTCTCCCGTACGACTCAATCGAATAAGATGGAATTCGAAAGGCCTAGAAATGGTTCCAGCAGTATAAGATACACCGCGCTTTTCTAGACTTCTTCTAGAACGCAGTTACGGATCGTTAAGTAGCGTAATTAGCGTAAACGGCGTGTTAATTAAAGTACAACGTTTGAACGAAGTCTAGTTTCAAACCAGGCGGCGCGAATTGTGGAGATTTCATGTCGCCTCTTATAACTTGGATCGTCGGTGCTCGTTGGTTAGTTAGATCAAACCTATTTCTTTGCTTTCAGTCTGTAAAAGGCTCGGAAGATATGTATAATAATAATAACATTAATTTGAATTTTACCTTTGAACAAAGATTCTACAATATTTAGCGTGTTACCTGTCTTCGGACGGTCCTCCTTCAGTGACGAATCGTACAATTACGGGTCTTTCCGAACCTGCCACAAAACCGAAGCCGAGCTCGTGGTGTCGCTCCAAAATCACCTATTGGCAAAACAATAGCCGAACATTTTCAAAAACCAATAGTGTACGTAAAAAAAGAAACAGGATTTACGTATTTTTTTTTTTATATGTGTATAACTTTTTGCTGTGCGGACACAGTGTACGATTGTCCCACACATCCAGCCTATCTGACAAATAAAGAAAAACCCATGCTTCAAAAAACTACTGAATTGCTAGCGTTTGTATTGAGGCACTTTGTCTCGTGACGATTTTTCCAAATCCAAAAATTAACCATCGCATTAAGGTATACCTCAGTAATTGACTTACTTCTCTTGGCGATGGCGGTGGATCTTCATGGACGTAATCCTTAAGTGGGTTATGGTAGGTAGTTGTCTTATTCACGTGGTTGATATAATAATCCACTCCCTGCATTAAATCACGACTTGTTTAAAATAACGAATGTCAATTGCGACTCAGCTGCTCACTATACTATTTACGACATTTTTATCTATTATCTGATATTATAGAATTAATTTGAATGTACAACTATCTAACATACTTTAGCATCTACGGCTCGCTCCCACCCGTATGGTAGGGATGGGTCTCGCCAAGCTTCCACTGGAGGAACCCACGAAGTCGTCCTTGTCTCATGACTACAAACCATACAAAACCATATGCAACATGCTATTAGTTTAGGCTTTATACTCTATTCGAATAATTAGAAATCAACCAATCGCACTAAAACCTAGAACAATATAAAGAGAGATCATCTCACTAACAAGCTTTCGCTGAAACAGGATTGGAAACAAAACAATTTTTGGAAAATCCATCTACGATTTAATCTCTAGTATCTACTAATTATAATATGAAAATGAGAAAAATAGATCCCACTTAGTTCATAGAACGCTTAGCCATACTAATAAATAACTAGAAATTAACACAAGAATTGAATAAATTAAAAGATAGGAGTTTTCGCTGAACAAAGAGAACATTGAAAATGACCTAGAGCGGAGCCTGTCACAGTTCTCCGAGTGAGATCAAGACAAAATGGGTCAACGTATCGATAGGTTGTCTTTTCGTCTCCGATAAGTACAGATTTCAACTCACTTCATATAATATATCCTTTGATTGGAGGTTATATGTGCTGTACAAGCCCTTCGAAGTAGCGACTGGATGTTGACCAGTTGTTCTTCATGCTGTGAAGCTGTGCGATTCGTTTGTGTCGAAGACAAGGAGGAAGTGTCCTGATCCCGCATCGCTCCCTCGGCGATGCCACCAGTGCTGCCATTAACGTCTTGCAGCACAACTCGTCCGCCAAGGTCATCTTGACGAATCACAGTGGTTTCCTCCGTTTGATCGGCGGTAATGTCTCGTGGTCCTGTTGATTCCACGTCGGTGTGGGCGTCCCATCCGCTCTCCAAGGCTTTTTCCTTCTGAAGGCTGCCAGAGAGCGGAGCTGGATTAGAAGATATTACTGCCACGGGAGCTACCACAGCCACTGATCCGGATCGATCATGAACCTGTAAGAAAATATCGGGTAAAATAATACGAAGACAGAGGCATGCGTTAAATCCAAATTACACTCAACTTCCGAAATCTCCTTATACGACACGAACGATGTTCATGCGTATATATGTATACCGATTACAAAAAGTTTCGTCTAGGTTACGAGTATGGCTGCCAAACTAAACTGTCCTAACGGGTCGTCATTTGGCTACTTTGATACAGTGGCATACGAGGTTCGTTTTCATAAAGCATAAAATGTCTCACCAGATGCCCTTGAATAATGAAAAATGATTTGCTTGAAGGGTGATGCCTCGAATAAGGAAGTTGGCTTTAGCAATAGGAAAAAAAAACTGGGGCCCGCTTCTTGAGCGCCGACGCTTATATGCTTGTCAGAAGTAGCTTTTGTCCGATAGTGGATTTCGTTGTACTGCTTCACTTTGTTGCGAACTTCAAGTGTCCGTGTCATGAGAAACAACGAATTCCGTTGCGTCTGATCTGTTGAAGGGAGGCTTTTCGAAAAAAATCTATTTTTTTATTCGATAAATATCACACAAAGGGCGACAATCGCGAATTACCCATTAGATACGGCTGAAAGCGGTACACACATTGGACGTAGGTAAATGTGTCAATGATTCAATACGGTTCAATATATGAATTGCCGAAAAATGATTGACTGTTCTTCTAACAGATAGCTTCATATGCTTCAGGTAGTACGAAGTTGTATCGGCTCTGCGTGTCATTTGAAAGCTGAGATTTGGCAATAATAGATTGATTACAACTGTTGAAATGGTTTTCTTCAGACCCAATAGAAAATAGGCAAGACATTGCTGTATTTTATTTCGACAGATACAAAAATGCTTCGCAGGCCCACGAATTAATTTATGCTGTTTATGATCGAGATGCTTTATCGGACAAACAGCTTTAGGATTTAGTTCTACGAAAAGTTCGAAACGAAGAAGTCATGAAATTGTTGTGATAGTTAAGCCAAACCGCCACGTGAATGGCCGTAATATCACCAAGAAGCTGAACGCACACCCCAAGTTCGAAAGTTTCGAAAAAAAAAGCTAACACACGAAAAACCCCGATGTTCGTGTACCACACGAATTGACGTAAAACAAGTTACTCGATCGTACTTCCATCTAAACGCAACAGGAAATCAAGTCGTTCCTAAAATGGCTGATCATAAAAAGTGAATCACGTACAACAGTAATGAACAAATAAATCATCTCTTAGATAAGTTAATATCTTATTATATGCTGTACTTAGTTAAATTACCTAAGGCGATTTAGGCGTAGTAAATAAAAGATGTCAGTCGATCGCTACTACGGGAAAGATAAAAGGCTAATTCCTTTATCAATACTGATAAGACAAATACGTCTTCGCAGCATAAAATAGACCGCAACAGCAAATGCTGGTAACTCGAATGTAATCGTGTAAAAGTTCCTTGTAAAACACGACTAGTCTGCTCCTACCCCGTTGGCGTTTCGAACGACTACTTCGTAACGCACCATCACCTATACACACGGTTCAGTCGTAGTTTGACCCTCCCTAACCTAGGAAACCTTCAAATAGCTCCATCAAATGTTGAATGATTACAGAATCGCGATTTTCGCTGTTCTGATCTATCGAAAGCTGAAGTCCACAATGTCAGTCTTTGAATAAACGATCAACAAAGGCCAAGTTCTGCCAGCTGAGTTTACTGGACCTCATCCTTGTAATCGCTACTACTGTTACTGGCTACCAATACTGCCGTTATTGCCTCTGCCACCACTTTGCTTGATAGTATATTGGATTGAAATAGTTTATTCCATAGCGCGGCTTTAGCGAATTAATGATGAAAGTCAAACGTCCATCGCTACCGACTGTTTGTGGTGAATCATGGCTCCGTTGCCATTCGTCAAGACTGTTCATAGACGTCGCTCCCTGCGTAGGCATGCCCAATGCGTCATTAGCATACGATCAGTGTAACAACCAGCCGATCTCCGACTGGTTAATTATAATATAACAGAAACATGGTTCCGTTATTCCATTGATTCAGAAGTCGCTACCATTTCCACCCTTCTGAAGATCACCCCCGAACAACTCCCCCAGCTAACAGCAACAGTGTTCTGGACTGTGCTTATAGCCAACGTCGCCAATGGGACGACAGTATCATTAACTACGAAAGCAGAGAAAGTGAAAGATAGACAAAATCAAGGATGATTAAATATAGTTACTAATGAGACCGAGGTTTTCAGAAACCGCCGCAGGCGGCGAGAAACTGGCTAAATGGAGGAATAGTTGAAAAATGGGGTGAGTTGCAAAAAATCTTCGTTAGGATCGCGGCGTAATTCCTTCGACGGTATTTAGAGTGACTGAGTAGATGGCATGTGTTTGTTATACATGCAAGAAAAATGGCGTCGTGTTTTCGGGATAAGATGCTGCCATAATGACAGCTGTAACCTATTGTGTTGGTTAATTAGTCAAGACTAAGATTATCCTTCGCCGTATTATAATCGAATATAACACGCTACGAGACCCCATTCTTTTTCGAACGAATCATTTTTTTTTTTAAAATTCGCTAGCAATTTGCCATTGGAAAAAAGTGTTGTGCACAGAATGCAGGTTTTTATTTTCATTTAAGCCGTGGCCGATGTTGTGTCGATTGCCCCGCTTTGTATCAATAGTTCATACTACTGTCAAGAGCCATGAAGCGCCGAAAACTGAAAGATCGTAGCTAAACTGTTAGTTACGCAGAAAACATTTAGACAGCCACCTTCCAAGGATGTGCGGAGCGAGTTCCTTGCCATAAGGATTAACAGAATGAGGCACAACGGGGATTACGATCAGGAAAGGTGGAAGACTAGCGGTAGGAAGCATTTTTCTCTGAAGAAAAATGTTGGTTCTTAGTTGGCATACGGATGCTGCCTTAAACATGTAACTGTTTTCTTTTCCCCCACTATAAGAATATGTCTCTAACTGTGCAACCTCCTTCCGCTGTGACTCCTTGTCGCACCACCCTGTATATTGCATGTGTGAACGCGACAGACGAAACTCTTTTGCAACCAAATGTTTAGACATGTACGGGTCTGTAAAGCTATAATACGGTAGCGCACAAGGCCCTTCTTCAAAATTGAGGTGCTTTACAATGGACCTCAGTGGGCTACATGTAGTACGACAGATGCACAATAACAATTAACAATGACCAGACAATAAACGCGTAGTAACAATTACCACGTTGAGGAGAAAAAAAAATAATGCAACAGGCAAAATGATTAGGCTCCCAGAATCCGTAATATCTAATAAACACCATCATGATTGTCCTAGACAACTCACGACGGTTTATTCAGACAAGGTACACGACGGTTTATTCAGACAAGGTACAGTCTTTTTCGGACCAACGTACGAAGATGGATACCTGGGTCTTAACGATTGTCGACATGATATTACCGGCGCAGAAAATCCAATTAGTCGATCACGATACACGGGCCAGTAGCATTCTTTGCAAATTTTTTTAAAATATCGGGTTCTCAATTTAAGTCAATTCGCACTAGCTACCCGTGATATTCGAGATGTATGAGATTTGAATCGGGGCGTAGAAACATTTGTTCGCTCCGCCCTGGGTCTTTGTTGGTTGGCGGTCACAACGTTCCTGTATCTTGGCTCAGTATACGAAATGAAATAACACAAAGCAACTGTGAGCGGGTAAATAATAGGTCCACTTAGCGCCTGTTTTATACTAATACTACGACAGTTCAACAGTAAGGGGAAGGTGTGTTCCTGACCCACAATCTACCTACCTCAATGAAATTTGTGGCCCGAATCCGAACCTCAATGTCCCCGGCCCGCTCAAATGCTCTCAAGGTATTGCAATCTGTCTAATAACCTAATGAATATCTCGGACACGCTTGGGCACCCAGCGTTTTCAGTCGCGTTCGGCGTGGCCATTCCTAACTTGTCTTCAAAGTCATCCCAGAGAAGAAACGAATGGTCGGAGATGTTTTGTTTTAGTTCGCTATTGCCATGTGATGTTGGCTGTCTAGTTATCGTAATAGTAAAAGTACTTTGTGAAGTTTCTACTTTGCAACATTTCTAAACTAGTGCTCCAGATACCGTAATTGCTACTGCCTGCCATATTCGCCGCATTGTTCCCTTCCATTCTTGTGTTATCCTATCTTCTTTCCTCCTCCCCCCGTCAAGTGTTCCAGAAGAACAAGTGCTTGATCCGGGGCTGAAATTGGCCCCCAGCTGAAGGGATATCACCGCCTTGGTCACGGTGTGCCCGCCAGCTTTATTGTTAATACTAAAAAGCATTGTACGTCATTTTCAGACCAGCGGTACGGATCTTAGCCGGGAAGGAGTACTTCGGCATCTTTTTCTGTTGCCATCCACCAGAATGCTGATGACGCACCGCAGAAGCGCATCCACCACTAACAGTTAGCCAGGGTTAAAGCTGTTGGCTAACGAAGTCCTGACTGAGTTTGGTTGTTCAATTTTCTACGTTGCATTTGGCTGACGCAGCCCTGCGTGCCCCAGATATCAGAATGCCCCACATACTGAACCATATCCTTGCCTTCCCGTTACATTAGTTGTTAGCTAACCACGCACTGAGAAACTACTCGCTACGCTGCCCCAGCTACCGTTTTTGCGGCATTCGAACCCCGAACTAAACCCTGAAGTATTTCTCGCGAACAGTCGAAGCCCATAGAAATCGTGTGGTTATTGTGGCTTAAGGGACTATGTTTCGCTTCGGTTCAGGTTGTTTCGTTTGAACGTCGAAAAGCAGCCGAAAGAACCGCGAATCATTAGTTTTCCACAGGCTGACTTGTGCCGCCACAACCGCTCTGACTGCTACTACTACCTACGACAGACAGCCGTTCGCAGCAGCAGCAGCAGCAGTGAAAAAAATCCGTTTTCGCTGCCTTCTTTCCGCTTCGTCATTGCACGAGGCGTCCTGCAACCTCCGCGCAAGAGCAGAAAACGGTTAACAGCATAGTTATATACATATATTAGTAACAGGTATGAGGTTTATAAA